ATTTCAATAATGATTTTTATAAAATTAATATGTAATACATACATGTTTCGTTTTCCTAATGTTAGGTAATCTAACTAGAAAAATATTGATATATTTCTAGTTGAAAACTGAAAAAAGATAATTTGCTCGTTTATTTTATGGAGGCATGCTTTACGAAGCACATTCGAAAAAGAACGAGGTTGACGTCGTACTTCCAGACTAATACAAGTTAAAAACATATAGCTACCTCAATGAGAGATTCAATAGTTTTGGCCTCGACACGGCGCTTCGTTTTAAGTTTTCTTTAGCCCCCTTTTGTGGTATATAACGTTGTAACTCAGGCAAGTTTTTACAATAAAATACAAATTTTAAATACACAGCAAATTTCATATTAATATCTTGCTTCTATTTGAATAAAACTGCTTTGAAAATGAATGAATTGACTAAAAGTGCCGGCGAATTTCTGAGTAGTGAAATGGGTTCAACAATCAAGCAGGTCTTCGATGTGGACGGCGGAGGTTAATATTAAGTAAACAGTCCTGCACGACGACTGCCAACTGAAACACTTAAAAAGTTCCTAACGTCATAGAAATGTTTTTAGTTCTAACAAGAATATTGTAAATTTCATTTGAGGGAAAAAAGCTGAAACCTCATCTTCGTTACATAATTTGCTTACACAGCAGTTTATTGAATACTAAAGCACTGAAATGATGGAACATCCCATGGTGTTATTGGGGAAATGCCATATGTCTTCCACTTACATCAAAAGTTGCTTTTCAGCCCAAAAAGTTTCTTTATCATCGATGAGAAAAGGTAACTTCATAAGCGTCGATTTTGCATAAATTACTACATTACCTGAACCAGCTGTACACAAAAGGCCTCAAATAAATATTCGTTGGATAAAAAGAATGTAATGACTGGTGCGTGTTTCATTCAGCTTAAGGAAAAATGTTTTTAATTATATTAACCTTAATTATATTACACAATATCAATCTCGTTTTTTTTCCGAATGACCTACGTATTCTTAGGCTATGAATAACAATGTTGTAGGTTACCAAACGTACAATCAATTTCTATACTGAATTATTTCATATATAATATGACAAATAGCTTCGAAAATTGCTAAGCAGATATACAGTCTTTTTGCAGTTAGTTCTAAATGACTGAAATTGAAGAACAGTTTTATATTTTTTTTTTCTTTTTTACATTTCAACAAGTCCTTCGAATGATCTAGAACTTACATAGAAATGTATAGCGAATTACTATACTAATTCTTCAAATAATTACACAAATTAAAAGATGACTGCATATTCTAATTACTTCCTTTTTTAATTACTATTTTTATGAAAATAATTCATTACAAATACGAAAGTGAGATAACAATTTCACTCATTTTTCTCATGGATCGAAAGTAATTCCATGAGCAATAATTCTAACAGCACTTTAATAATAACATGACATGAATTCACAGCTATGAAGGAATGATAATTATTACATTCTATATATTAAGGCCCTACATTTTATAGTAGGCGCATATCTAGTATTGCATCTCATGTAGATCTTATCACCATGATTAATTTAATGCGAGTGCTAAGGAGGTAATTGTGAAAGGATCTTTTAACTTCCAATTACCGAATTCATTTGTAATATTACTGGTTCTTGTATATGCATACATATATATACCATTCTCTATATCTAAGAGATAACACTATAGCAATTTAGAATTACAAAAAAAAAAAAAAAAAAAAAAAAAAAAGAATATTGGTTATTAAACGGTATTAAAATTCCTTGTATTTTGAAGTCTATAAACATCGCCAGTAAATGACGTAAGCGTTTATTTTACTTGTGTGTGAGCTTTCGCAGACGGCGATCGGTGACAATTGGTAGTGAGACGATGTTAACTTTCTAGCTTAAAAATTTGTAAACCGTGGGAAAATAATTGTTTTGTTCCATTACAGTTAAATTTACAGGAATAATAATTAAGGAAACAGAAGCAAGACAAGAAAAAGTAAATATTTTGCTTAATATTTATTACTACACTTTGAAGAATTAAAAAAGCCTTTGGTTTTTAACTATTAGCTCATTGCAATGCTCAATTTTAAACAAAGGTTACGTAGTAGAAATTAGTATAACTAATGTAAATAATTTTAATAGTGGTAAAATATGTTAAATATAACTAAACTAAGAAGTTTTGATTTAAAATATCGTTCCCACCAATATTATTATTGAAGTTCTATACAAAAACGGAACTATTCCAACTTTTCGAAATAAATTATATATTTTAAGAAAATCTTTTCCTTTACATTTATGAAAATTCACAAAACCGTTTACATTTTATCCTTCCTAAAATTAAAAAATTATATTCAACGAAGTCATAATTTTTTACGACAATGTAAAGATTAAAGAATTCAGAAAAGAATTCCCTGTTTCAATCAAACGTAAAAACTGTATTCTTAATTAATATGTTTAAGATACAAAACTGCTTAACTTTTATTTGCGTAAAAGATTAGTATTTTATAATCTTAGGTATGCAACAAAATTTTATTTTAAAAAGCGTAATGCATAGCATTTAGTTTGCCAGAAGCAGTAAAAGCTATAGAAAATTAAAATATAAGGGAAACACCAAATTCGGCAATTTCATTGTTAAGATGATGATTTTAATCTGGTAACTTACTTATCGCTACCCAGTGCCAAATGTGTGCAACTCTTCAACATTTAAGCAAAACAGATCGCTATGTACGTGGGAAGATAAAGTAATGTATCATATAATATATAGAACTATTAATGTAGGCTGTGCCGAGGAGTGCACGATGCAGAATCTGTGCAATTCTCTGATGATTTTTAAGCGCAAATAAATCCTGTGGGCCTGGAGGTAACAGCTGTGAGGTATCATACAATACAGTATGCATAACGCTTGAGGTATTATAAAATCCTTATTAATAAATCAAATCTGTATTTTCAACTGTGTTTTTAATTGCTTTTATTTGATATGCTGATAATGTTTGCCAAGTTGCTAAGAATGTCGATTGGCGATATTTGAGAAAAACGTCGCCAAACTCGCCACTCGCTCCTTATAAGTAACTCTTACCGTAGCAACCTAATAATATATAAATACAATTTTGCAATAATATGACGGAGAATTTTGAAAAGTAAGTCATTTTATTTATTTATTTTAACGATTAGATTGAAAATAAAAAAATAATAAGTGTTCTTTACACAACTTATTGAGATTAAATATTAGGGCTTATTTGAAAAAAATATTGAAACACAGGACTAAATAGCTTAGTGCAAATTCTCTCAGATACAGAATTCTAAATACGCCACCTAAACGTCGTTATATATCACACATGTATAGGCAGTTAAATAGAAATTGCTCAGAATCTGATGAGTAGAAAACAAAATCGCTTTATGCGATGTTGCTCCTAGAGATGAATTAAAATGCATGCGTGTATTTATTGAACAGAAATTTCAAAGTATTTTTACAAATTTAAATTTTCAAATCGATAAAGCACAAAATTTATGAATGATAATTGTAGCAGTGTTCTATTTCTTGTCTAACAGTCTTCATTTCAACCTCAAATTAGGATGGTCTCTAAAAAGTTTATCAAGATCGCGCATAGGCCATGAATTTCAAATGGCAGTGCTTGAATGTAAAGAACAGATTTTATCCATTATTAACATCTTATTACATTAATATATACTATTATATTAATTATCATCATCCTAATACATTAATGCAGAACTGTCGATTGTGAAATACCTGAATTAATATTACGAAATGCAAACATGAAAGTAATAGTTTGAACTTCCTTCTTAGTATGCAAATTCATATTACTCGTACATAAATATAAACAGATAGAGAGAGAATGCATTAAGTTCCCCTAAAAGATAATTATTAAAATATATACAAGGTTGTAAAATAAAACAGTTCACAAATACATTTTCACAAAACCCACATTACAGTAAAACAACCTACTAAGAATCATAATATTAACTTTAAACTAAACTACTATGAATAAACAAAATACATGTAAGGGAATAATGTAAAATAGTTTATAAGTAAAAACATTTGAGTACAAAACTCATAATATGAAAACTTAAAATAATGTTACTAAAAATAATAAATGAATAAAAAATAAATTAAACTAAAAATATAAATTAAATAAAATAAAATAAACATTTCACTAAAAGAATAAAATTTCTTACAAGAACTAAAACCCTTCATGTGAAAAAGCAATATTAAAATGCATATAAGAGGAAATAAAGAAAAGTTTCGCAAAAATATTAAGAAGTTTCATACATATAAAAATTCCGCACTGTACAGAAAATTCATATATACTTCGAACTAAAAGTGCCTATGAATACATTTGTAAAAATTTGTAAAGGAATATATTGAAATGCATAACAAGAATGTATTTGCATAACAAAACGTGTATATAGAAAAGAAACAATTCAAATGCAACAAACTAAAGAATTCTTAAAAGATAAATAAGGTAATTAAGTAAAACGTATTTGTATACAAACGAAAATATGTGTATACGAAACCTATAATGCTAGAAAAGAAACATATTAAAGTTTGATGCTATGAAAAAAGCATTTACAGGAATGAAATGAGATGTTTTACATGAACAATTTTATAGAAAACTCACATTACAAGAAAAGTAATAAGTTAATTTCAATACTTACAAAAACGAATGTAACGAAATAAAATAAAGTATTTCACAAGTAAAAATTATTTGTATAAAGAATTCCTTTTCTTCATAAATAAATAAATAAATAATATATAAACTTTGAACTGAAGGAATATTTATAAAAATATACGTAATGGAATATGGTAAAGGATTGTAAAAAAATAATGCATTCTGTTTCTTATAAATATAATTAGTTTATACTTCTGTTTAAATGAAAATTTTGTGTTTAATGTATTTATACTTCAGTTTAAATGAAAATTAATACTTATATGCTAAATATATCTAAAATAAAAGTACATTGTGCCTTTTTTACCAAATATCTGTTAAATTGACATTGGCACTGAAAGCAAAATACTCCTGTAAAGGCTTTGATTCTTTCGTTTTTGTAAAGAATATCGTAGTATTAAAATAATATATAAAAGAATAACAGTAGATCGAAATATACTTCGAAATCTCCAACGCGCATCGCGGCCTGAATTTTCATCTTTTAACTTACATTACAAATATATAAGTATATGGATATATATTCATAATTGCATATCATATAATTGCAAATTGTAGAATGGCATCATGCCAGAAGAGTTTTTTTTAACAGTCTTGTCGATGTAAGCTAGTATTTCATTTTCCAACATTGGGGTTCGTGTCCGGATTGTTTACTTCCAAAACCAATGATCATTTTTCCCGTAAAAAATCCAGACAAACCCCAAACCGGAAAACAAGCTTTCATTCCGGTTTTAGTACTAGTTATCAGTATATTTTGAAAGCCCTAATCATACTTCGACCATGGGTCTTCAGCTAGCGGATCGGGCGGGGCCACATAGCCATTAGTTGTTGTTGGAGCATATGTGTCGACTAAGCCAGTATCCTCCGTTGCCATGTACTGGTTTCCAGGCGGACAGAGGTCATTCATTCTTTCCTGTGGAATTTTCAGCTCCAAAGGCATATCCGTTTGCAACTCCAAACTGCTGTTTTTAATTCCATACCAGAAGTACATAAATAGACCTGGCAGACACAATGTAAAATACGTTACAAGAGCAAAAGAAAAATCAGTACAAGAAAAGTATATTCATATACTTATAAAAAGCAAAAAACTGCATAATGAGCATTGCGTTACAACGTATCAGTAAATGTTACTAATTAATAAAGGTTAATTTAGATTGTGCATATATTTAGTAGAAAGAAACAACTTTATGAAAAGCAAAATACTTTAGTTACACTAACTGTTTGGACAGAAATTCAGTAGTGAAATTGAAATGTTTCATTTAGAATGTATTGTTTTATTACTACGACGTGGGTTTTGTTGATACAGTTGTTCAATCATTAAAAATATTTTAACTGTTCCTCACGAGAAACACATTTTCCTCTAGAGAAATGTGTATGTTAATGTTTCCCAGAGACGAGAAAGAAAACTGTGTAGATTGTGGAAGATGCTCGAGCTCACATTCATGTTCTTCAAACTCTTCTTTATCTGATTTTGAGTTCTACAGTGGTGAATTATTCGTCATGCATGGCACACTTTTCAGGAAACAAAACTTCAACTTTTGTGTGGACTTGGCTAATGGATGTCCTAAACTGTAATGTGATTAACAATAACAACAAGTACTCTCAGAGGCTTTTTATAATACTGGAACCCAAAACTGTCGACATTTAATCTTCGTCTTTAATCTTCGTCAACTCCTGATTATGTGATTATGAAGTTCTCATATATTCTCCCATAAGTGAAAACGATAATGGATAACGAAGATGGAACTCATCGCTGAACAATATATATTTTGCATTATGTACTGTGTACTCTTCGAGGTTCTGACACTCCTGAAATTGCATTTAACATCGTCGCTTGCAGTTAGTGACTTTGTTTTAACTACCTGACTATAAATATTAATCTGTGAAATTCCAGAAAAGGAGTTTTTGTAGAAATGTGCGAGTTCTAATTTTTGCTATAATTAGATCAGTCGATGTTTTAAACATTTTAATCATAATTTTTTAACTGTCTGATAACCGGCACACATAACTTTCTTTATCTCGAAATTAACTCTGAACATCGAAGTTCTTAGCTTTTCAGGATAAACAGATAAGAGTCTGGATACTATGGCCCTCAGTACATAAAAAGACCTTCTGTTTTAAGAAATATATACTAGTCATTCAAGAACCGATGATTTTTCCTTCTTCCAACAATGATATATCCCTCATTCACGTCCTATTTCTCTCCATCTGTGAAGTCACTACCCCTAAATTAGAACTTTACAGTCTACTCTGTTATAAAACCCCAAATAATGTTGGTTTCCTAACCAGAAATGCATACGCTGGCTTGAAACTTAAGCGATATCTTCGACAAGTGTTTCCCATTACTGTACAACCCCTGTAAAATACTTATTCGAAGATGTTCATTGCGCTTTTGTAACCTTTTATTTTTTTACGATACGAAATTACGATACCTGGACCGAAATTATACTTAAGTTGCGTTGTTTGCTTTAAATGTTTTTAATTCTTATAATTTTTTAAAATTTAAATTAAATAATTACTATGAATGAAGTTATAACTCACTAAAACGTCGAGAACGTTTCTGCAAATAGAGTAAAGTGTCAAACTTCTTCAGCAAACCAGCGTTTGTTTGAGTTCATAAATTACTCTAACATATCTTCATTTAATAATTACAACTTTGTACCTCTTCCGAGATTCCAGAAATTCAGATCGCACTTAATGCTTCTCAAACTATAATGAAATTTTACGAAAATTTTGGTGATACAAGAATTTGTCCAATAATATCCCTAATCGTTACACGAAGATCTCTAAGCTGTCTCTGATTCGACATCTTGCTTAATAGAAGATCAAATAGATGATTTCCCAGGGCATGGCTCATATTTAAAGCAATCTTTGCCTTATTTAAACATTTTATATCTCACAAAAACTCTTGTTTCTGATAAAGTAGTGTCTTCAAAAGTATTGTGCAACATTTCAAACTATTTTGTAGCAGAAGCTGCATTGCGAAATCAGAAACATAATGCATGCCGTTTGCTTAATTTAATTCTTCATTTCAGATATCACAAAAGCAAAATTTTTTTATTCGTTAAAAAAGAAGCTTTATGTAAAAGATAACAAAAAGTGAAATAAAAGTTATTACCAAATGTTGTTGAAAGTCGTAAGATGAGTAAATTAGTATTCTAGTTGCCTGAATTCTAAGTTTCCAAATATCCAGATTGATTGTATTAGTTTCTTTCCAAGCAAAATTATCAAGCTTGTTGTCATTCATACTTTTCAGATCATTTTCATGTATGTAAACAATGTAAAAATAACAATAACAACTTATTCATTCTTATTCTTATTCATTAAGGACATGTTCATACGGCCTAGTGTTTTAGGTCAATACAGAAATAATGTTTTATATTAATAGAAATTAAGCATTTTAAAGACTGAAGTTTCTTACTGGCTTCGCAAAAAAGAATATTCAAATTTTCTGACCTTCCATGATTCACATGATTTTCTTCCGTAATATATTTGTAGTATAATGCGAAGATAATTTAAAATTCGACAAAAAAAATGCAGCCTTAGACTGGCATAGATTTTAATAAAACTACTAATTTCGACAACAATCAGACATGGGTTTCTATTTTTCAGGAGAAAACTTACTTTTTTTTTTTTTTTTTTTTTTTTTTAAGATAAGAGATGTAACGACCATGTTTATACAGAAATCCATGACAAAGAATAAGAAAGCGCAAGTAGCGCCATCTGTCGAAGAAATCATTAATATAAAGTGAAACATAGACGATGTTAAGGTGTAGAGACATTTGGCATTTTTTAGGAAGCAGGAAAGATGAATAATGAGCAGCGCCCTCGCCGGGAATCGAACCACGGACCTCTGAAATATGCGCTCAGCGTGCAGACCACCACATCCCGAAGGCATGCTAAAAAGGCGGGTGAAATACCTTATATTCTCCCCGTTTTAAAGGACGACTGGGTTTTTTAGAGAACCCAATAGCCAAATCCTGGGTGCAGAGAATAAGCATCCATCATCCTTTTTAATTCGGGCGCCACTTTAGAGACATTAGGTATTTTTAAGAAGCCGGAAAGATGAAAAATGAGCAATGCCCTCGCCAAGAATCAATCCGCGGACCTCTGGAATACGCGCCTAGCATGCAGACCGCCACACCACGAAGGCATGCTAAGAAGGCGGGAGAAATAAAGGCTTTGAAAGAGTTGGAAAAATCTGAAATGAATCTTTTTCATTAACTAAAGACGATAAATTATTGTGATTGTGAAACGCTTGGGAAGGAAATTTAATTCATTAAGAAATTTTAGTTCGATATGTTATTATACTGGCCCACTTAATCGTAATTTTGACCTTAGTTATGCGAAAATAATCCACAAAATATTTTTCATTTTATTTTTTCCTTCTCTCCCACTTAAAAGACGATTGCTAGAATTCAAGCTAGAGACATTCCATTTGCTAGACAGTTCATTGAGTTAATCACTTATACCACGAGAGCACATCAAAAGTTCTGCTTCCTGGCATTAAAGTTCAGTATTTATTTATCGATTTTTTAATTTAAATCATTTATAGAAATCCAGCAGCTAAATTTAGCTGATATTATTTTTTTAAATGTGTAAAACAGGTAGATTTTTTTCTACTTCTAGACAAGTAAGCGTTTTTAAAAATCAAATTAATATGTTAAGTCGTAAACTTTCCTTTCAAAAATATTGGCAATAGTTTATACATTATATAAATCAGCTCGTTCATTAAAGATATACATTACTAAGGATAGTTTACTGTTTTAAATCGCTTATTTAATTAAGCAATTGTAATTATAGTTTGGAATATTAAGATCTTACGGAATTAGGGGACGAAATTTTGACAATTGGCTAATTTCACACCACGTGAAAGATGAATTAAAAGCTTTATATCACGTATAATACAATATTTGCGATGTCATGGAGATTATAAATGCATGGTAAGGTATGATGTGTGATACGATAACAGCCCACACATCTGAAGAAAAATAAAACATAATAAAAATGATTTTTATACACTAAGCTTTTATTTAAAATGGGTATGATAATTAATGCACTTAAAGGAGATAAATAAGAATTTTATATCGTGAATAATAAAAGCGTGGAGCACCTAATTAACAAAGTCTATTAATTAAATGGCATTGCCAAATGTATGTTTTAAAATTGTCGAATTCCATCATCATTTTTAATTTATAATGGATGCCTCACTCTGTTATTATACGCGATATAAAATTTTAGATGAATTGTGTAAACAGAATTATTTAATCTATTATTCATATAAAACTATATGTAAATTATTTTTCTCTTTTTATTGCATTAATTATCTCATCCATTCTAAACAAACGCTTATTGTATAAAACCATTTTTAATTATATTTTATTTTCTGTTTTTTATTCTAATTTTCACATTATCTATAAAAAAAATGCTGCGCCAATTCGTTATAAACTGCTCCAAGATGGCAGATTCAAAAGCAATTTTTCCTCGAGAAACTCCTTTTTATTTCACCTGCTTCAGGAACACATTTTTTTTTTTTTTAAGTAAAAAATCGCTCTTAATATTTTTTATAATTCTTGTTTTAAAAGACGACGGAACGTTTGTACATAGTTCGTAAAAATTTCAGAAATTTGTATAAATAGATTTTTAATATTAAATTTTAAAATCATAATAATAAAAAAAAAATAATCAAAAAATGGAGCAATTTTTAAAAATTCACCGAAAATTTAGAAATTAAGTTTGAAATAACATTCGTTAAAAAAAAATGTTTTTTGCTGCATTCGATAGTTTAAACAGTAAAATTATGATATATTTAGTTGGTCATTAAACGAAGATATATGCAAAAAACCGATTAAGTATTAAATAAAAAATTCTAAGCCATTCACAACATTGCATTGTCATCGACTAAGATTGTGTCTACAATATGTGAACTTATTAGTAGTTAAAGTAAGTAAAGTAAGTTAAAAATCGATGAGAAAATTTCGTCAGCTGTGGTTAGTTTGTTTTATTTAATTATGGCAAAGCACACTAGGGCTATCTTCCTAAGGGGGAGATGCCTTCGTGGAGGACTTTCTAAGGGAAACTGACTCGTATGCACGTTACACATGGGGAAAACCACGAAAACGCCCATGCAGCCAGCCCGTTCGTGGGATTCGAACCTCGGACCGAACTACCAGCGTTCAGCGACTTTACCGCTCGCCCGCTGTGAGTGAGGGCTTTTAAATAAGAGTTTATATAATAAATTAAAGATCCATGCTTTTAATTCTTTTTTTTTCCAGTCGCTTTTGAGAAAAGACCATGGTCAAAAAACTTCTCACCTACGCTCATCCAGAGTAGAAACCGGATCAGGGTTAAAACGGACAGCTTGAAAATAAGGTAGATATTCACAGTTATGGCTATTCCTGGAATGAAGGGAACACAGGGAGCCTTGAACTTTAAGTCGCATCTGAAATAGTAAATAAAACACATTACTTATTGATATTATAAAATCAGCCCATAATAAATTATGTTGTGCTTAATGATAATATGCAGTTTGCTATTAAGTATAGTAGTTATTTTATAGAAGGGAAAAAGGCAAAATTCACGCAGGGTAAGTTAGTAAAAATTCTCGAAATTCCTTGACTTAAGAATTTCACCAATAATTTCGCAGTCGAGGATTTACATCAACATTTCTGGAGAAGAGATGGGTACCAGAAACTGAAGAACAAATTCAAATTTTGATAGTCGTCAATCTTGAAATACGGAAAGCTGAGAGATTTTCGTGCGAAAACTAAAAATAAAGGGGAAGCTTTCGCTCTTTGTTAGTGCTTAGATACCATTCATTCTCTTAGTTCTCAAGTGGCGTAGAACCCATTTTTGAAACTTTGATACAAAGCTGGAAATGTGTTGTAAAATGTTATCTGAAAGTAGTGGAAAACAACAAATTTCCAAATAAAGGTAGCAGTAATAAAAATTTTAGATTAACAGTAATAGATTGATGATGCGGTAATAAATCCTCATTTCCCAAAAGCCTAAACAACGGCCTTAATACCTTTTTTAAAAAAGTAGTTCTTTCCTAGAGCAGCATTTAAATCATTTTCTAGATATTGCATAAAACAGAATAAATCCTGAGTTACAGTCTATAATCTGACGTTTTTGACATACTAACTCGGAAACAGAAGTAGCAGCCATTTTTCAAATAGCAATGCTTTACTTAGTGATGCTATACAGCCATCTATGATCGACAGTTGAAAGTTCTAATAATATAGAATGAATAAACACAGGAATGGAATCTGTAAAGGCATTTACAGAAGAATAAACAAATTTAAACTCTTGTCTACTAGAGTGGACATGATGCAAGAAAGGGCTAATATTTACAGCTTTCCTTAAAAAGGAACGTGCGCGTCTTTGAAAGTTTCTAAGAAAGGTAGTTTGGTAGGTTTCGAAAATAATTTCATTTGAAAACTTTGAAAATTCGTCAGACTGGCGAGAAATAGCCAGATGTTGTCGCCGAATACTGGCAAGAAGATTTCTAACCTTATCTCCGATCCTACATCTGCTCTTCTAACACATGCAATGCAATCGACTCAGAATCGAAAAATCTACGAAACGTAATACTCAAACATTTACAAACACAATGAAAGGTCACAAATTCAAAATTAAATTATTTACACTATACGTGAACATAAAATTACAGTATTAAATGCACATTGCTATTTAAGTAAATAAAAACAATGTACAAAGCTATAAAACACGTTAAAAATTACAAGCAAATTAATGTAAGAATTTATAACAATAATATCTGGTTTTTAAACATTATTGAATAGTATCACATCCTATGAAAATTAGATTATAATTTATCAACAGTTTGAACACATTTTTTATTACGAAAAATAAGTTTATAACGCTTACTTTGTTTGGGGCTGCCTAGAAATGATTAGCAAACAAAAAATGATGCCGAAAAGGAACACGAGCAGGAAGAAGATGGCTGCCCCACTTCTATTCTCTAATGCTGGCATGGCGCACACAACAATCAGATCCATTATGATGATAAGCAAGTAGAGCACTCCAACCATCTTCATCACAAAAATGCCCGTTGCTCCCGAAGCTTCGCCAGGATTAATCCAGTGGTAAGGGAGTATTTTCATTAAGAAGAGCATAATCCTAAGTGGAAAATATCAGTCATTTATAGGTACTACTCATAAAGCAGGAACAAAAGTCTGGTATTACAGGAAAACAAGAACATTTTGTTGTGAATTTTGTTCACGATTTAATTTAAAACTTCATTTTCTATAAAAAGAGTGTTACATGTATTTTATATACGAAATATATTATAAATATTGAATGAAGAGATTCTAACGATTTTGAAATTGAAACCAACAACATGAAATGAACTCGCATACTGTAAAATCTTTCTATGGGGATCAGCCGCAGTTATCGATAATTTTAATCTCTGCAGAGATCGTCGTATTACAGAGCTAATATTCAATAATGATGTTTTTTATGTTATCAGAGAAATTTTTCATTTTCAGAGGTAGTCGCAATGAAAGGTTCAGTAGCTTTATTTATATCACAAATTAACAGATACAGAATTTCATTTAATAATAGCGTCACACATTTGTTTAGCTATTTTTGGAACAATTTCAAACTATTTTTTGAACATATTTCAAATGTTCTTCATAGTCTGGACCACTCTTTGGACAAAGTTTATTAATAGAACTGCAGTTGTTTCCTCTTGTGTTACCCTAAATTCGACCATGTACCTAGGTGTCTTAAGCCTAGTTATTGCTTTTGTGGATGTGCTTATGTTACACTTCAGAAAATCTTAAGAGAAGAATTCCCGTATTGACAGGTCTGGAGAGCTTACTAGCTATGGAAACCTTCTTCCTTCAGCAATCACATGATAGGGAGAGTTTTCCTGAAGCACCATCATTAATTCTATGACAACCCAATTTGCTGGAATCTTAGCCTCTGAAAATCTATCATATTGTCAAAGCATGTTTCCAAAAAAACGTTGAATTCTTCTGTGAACATTTAGAAAAAGCATTGCTTAAACAATAAAAGGCTGAAAAAATTAATAGTATTGTGTATCATTTTGTCCTTTTAAATAAATCAAATTCTGACATACAGTTCATAGTGCTGCTTTCATTTCCTATATCGTCAATTTCCTTAGAATTAACATGATAAAAATCCTGCACTTTACTTAGGTTTACACAGAGTGGTCTGGCTATATTCGATTTGAGAATATTTACTACGACAAGGCAACGAAAGTTCGCAAAGTATCACTCATTTGTTTAATTAACTAGGTCCCTTACATCACTTCAGAAAATTCTGAAAAAAGCATTTATATATCGAGAATTCAAGGCGAATGATCGCCCCGCCTATTCATCAACTCAAATGAAGGTTTAAAGAAATTTAAACTTTAAACTCTACAAACACATGGCTTTGCTTACCAAATTAATCTCGGCAGCTTGGGAGATTTCAGGTAGCATGAAATGTAATTTAGAATTGTAAGAAGTTTAATTCTCGAGATTCACAAAGTAAGAAGTCTACCTGAGTGTTGGCTAATAAATTAAACCCGCTAGCAAAACGTAACTCGGCTAACAAAATGCTAACATCGGTCTAAAGTAACTCATAGTGCTAGGCGAGCAAACAGCAGAATGTTCAGGGTGCCTCCGAAAGCTCTCCCCATTCAAGAACTCTGTTCTTAAATATATATGTATCTAATTCGCATCTTGATAAGATATGATGGAAAATAGAAGCGATAGGATATCTCAGATACTAAGATAATTGTTTTAACATAAAGCCTACACTTTACTGCAAATTTGGTAGAGTTTCCCTAAAAATGTGTGTAAACTCACAGATCAATGTACAGCGTGTTTCAAAAAGAATATAAGTATTTCGAATGCATATATTTATTAAACTGTATGACATACGAATATGAAACTTTACACACAAATGTACGAACCTAAGCATAACTCTGATGCTGTTGGTAAACTAACGAAAAATCTCGAAAACTCTTGTGCACATCTCTATGTAGTAAACTTTATCTTACAATTTGAATTTCCTAGAATCTCTTCTGTCTATCACGCCATAAAACCAAATTTTGCAAGCAGTGGTAAAAGAAGAAAAGACTTATTCTTGTTCATTGTACATCAGTTCGTTTGTTAGGCTTGCAGTAGCTGTTTATGTCACAACTATTGAAAGTTTTATAGTTTCGTTTTCTTTTTCCATTCTAAAAATATGTAAAAGTAACCACTCTTCAGTGTTCTACATAAGACGCACACTTTTAAGTGTTATATAAGTATAGAGCCTAGACATTATTTTAAACTATGTAATGAAGATGAGTCATATGCAAAGTACATAAACAGTTTTATTCCAGTATCTTCAAAACAGTACTTCTGCAAAACACGCAAAACTGCGGAATTATCAAAGCGCGCAAAATTTGGGACTACTGCGCACATGTAATTAAAAATTTAACATAGTTACTGAACATCATCATTATTATTTATTTGTTTTATTTGTTTATTTGTTTTTTGATCCTTACTTGGTTTTTGGTTAAATTAAGTATTTCAATTTATATGTATGTGGTAATTCGCTCCTATAACTCATCCTCCTTTTCCTAAATCTGGCAACAGCGACAGCAGGCGAGATACTTCTTCAAGCTGCGTGAGAAAATAGACAGACGGGCATTCCGATGATGTGAGAACATGGCGTTGGATGGAGCTGAACCATGCCGCTCGAGAACATTGATCGACAATGTGATTCTGTTTCATGATGAAGAACTTTTAATCTTACTTCCTTTCACACTGTAAATACCATAATCATGTTTATTCTTTCATCATTAAATACCCTTAAAATGCTACTGCCTTCCTCTAATTTAATCCTAACCTACATGGGGGCTCGGCCCTGCAAACTCTTTCGACTCCTTGAACTAAAATTTGTTCTTCTCGTTAGCTTTTTAAATCCCCTAGACTACCTAAAGACGGTATTCATTTATGCAACAATAATAATGATCAAATTTTTGTTAATGTCGCTAATGTTACTCATGATCACACAGTTCCACCTGATCTGTCACACATCTCAAAATTTGAAATTCGCGAGGAAGTTCAACATATCATTACTCCTCACAAACCACACGAAGTCAACACTGCTATGCAAGATTTTCAGAATATAACAGAAAATGAAATTCAGTTGAAGAACACAGTTAAGGAAAATGATGATGATGCTGCACATGACGATTTAGAATTGGATTTAGATGATGACAATTTGGATTTGGATGATTACCATGACAAAGATGATGCTGATACCAATGATGGAGCTCATGATGATGATGTTAATGAAGATGGTGATGACGCAGACGACGACATGGATCAAGATCATCATATTGATGATGACGACAATCATAACGCTAATGGTGATGATGGCACTCATGAAGATGATGTTAATCATGTTGATCAAGATGACGTTGCTGTTGTTGATGAAGATCATGTCAATGAAGGTGATGTTGATGACAACGAAGATGATGATGACAGTCATGAAGCTAATGATGATGATAATGTCGATAATGACCCAAACGTGCAGAATACTGAAGAAACTGCGAAAAATAAACTGAATCAATTTGAACAAGCATGTGCTGATCAAGCAAACGAGAAAACACCTAAAACACCTGCTAAAAGTGCAGAAATTCCCAAAGAACAGAAAAATAATCTAAGGAAACTACTTGTCTCTGACATTCCAGCGGATAGTACAATTTCTCAAATTGCCGAACTTTTTCCAAAAGCATCTCAGATAACTCTGAATTTATTACCTGTACATCCAAATGTTACCGTAAGTTATATACAGGAAAATTATGCAGTTGAAGCTTTTGAGGCAAAACAGAATGCTGAAATACTTAGAATCAAAATTACTGTTTCATACACTTTATCCGCTTCACACCCAAAGAAACGCAAGAAGAGAGCCTGGAAGTATAAACGAAGAAAATTTAAACGAACTTCAAAGACAATGACATTGCTGACGCTGACACAGCATGATGATGAAAACGCTGCATTATGGCACTGAAGCTCAACGGAACCTCTCCGTTTACAGCACGTACATACACGACAGTATAAGAAACGTCGCAAACCTGCCTGCAAATACAAACTTGGACACCAAATACCAGCCAGCTGAACTGAAACTTCCACTTGGACTGAATCTTCGAACTTGAACTGAAACTTGGAACTTAAAACTTCGTCCCATATTCTTCGGTCCTTATGAGACAGTACATCCCTCTGATTGTTACGAAGTACGAAAGATACGCCATGAAGACACCATTAAGATGTTCAACCTGTGCTGATAAGATGAACTGGTGGTGCACAAAGCTAACATTCGCCACCTGGACACTGATTTTTTTTCACTTTTTCTACTTTATGTTTTTTTTTTCTTTTTTTCAGATCATACCCCCAGGCGAGGACGCCCGGCAAGGCAGAATGGCCGTGTGCACATTCGCTTCCTATAACTCAACCGCCTTTTCCTAAATATGGCAACAGCTACAGCAGCGAGATATTTCTTCTAGCTGCGTGAGGAAATGAAGAGAGACTTTCCATTCCGATGATGGTTATGAACGTGACGATGGATGGAGCTGAACCATGCCGCTCGAGAACATTGATTGACGATGTGATTCTGTTTCATGATGAATCTTACTTCCTTTCACACTGTAAATACCATAATCATGTTTATTCTTTCATCATTAAATACCCTTAAAATGCTACTGCCTTCCTCTATTTTAATCCTAACCTCATCCTACATGTATTCAATCCATAAAAAGTTAATGAATGTACTTACAGCGAAGCTACTCAAGGTTTCAAATCATCGGTCTTATGGAGGCGGTCATCTTCCATGGATGATGCTCAGTACTTATCCTTATATTTATTGTAAAAAGAATTGGTTTGCCTGCCATGTGAATAGTATTATACTTTACATGATTGTTTTTGGCTATACGCTCTTTTTTGACTAACATATGATATTGCATGTTTATAATTGCGATGTATAAAATATTAGTGTAGTTTTAATTTACCATTTTACTTGCATCATGCACTGTTTAACGTCCACATACTTCATTTGCTCACAATTTACAAAACTTGATATTTTAATAATTCTGTTTATTCGTAAACATTTTAGGCAACATTTCTATCAAGATCTTTATAAATGATAAAAGTTCAAATGAAGACTTAAAGTAAAAAGAATTCACTTTTGGAAATGAAACTGCGATGCCATTATACCAATGATTAAATTCATGAAACGTTCAAACAAAGGAAAATAAATGGAACTCTTACTGTAACACGGAAACGCAAAGTTGGTATTAATAATCTGTGAACTTTAAATGCATTAATATCTCATAAAAGAAAGTATTAAAATAATATAATTGGCAATGACAAACGATAACGTGTTTTAGAGACTTTGCAAATTTCCTTTTAAATCCGCCCTTCGTGATACAGTAAATGTCTCCTTTGTAATGCAACGTGAACAAATTTAGCTGCACTGTTACCTCATTTAACATCAGGATAATAATTCTGATTATACCCATATTCTAATCTCCATCAAGAGTACTCACTTCAAATGAATGGTATACACCAACCGAAAATGGGTATGATGTGCCGACAATCGACCACGTTTTAGCTATCTGTTTCTGTAACCAGATTTAATGCTGATTATGAATTATTCTTATGAGTATTGAAGAAATATATTATTAAATACATTTTTAAGGTGAGCCAAACAATTCTGGACCGAATTTCGGTCACGTCAGATAAAAGGCTACATGCTCGCTGCTGCACGCATATTAAACCCACAAAAAATTTGTAAAATCTCTAAAATGTTTAACATTTGCCTTTCATTATCATAATCTATGTTATCCCATCCTTTAAGTTGTAGAGGTAAATTCCTGGAGTTAACTATGACCCATTTTCCACGTTAAATAAGTAAAGTCTTAAGCAATGCATTGAAAGAATCTAATATGATCTCATAAATCAAATTCCGTTTACCAACCTATGAGGTATTGTAAAAGCTGCTGCAAGTGGTGGCGGCTGCGATGGCTGTGGCGGTGGTACCGCCCCGTAGCTCGTGTCCGCACCCTTCATCAACAGATCGTCATCCCTTTGAGCGGTGTCTCGGAGCAAATCTGGCCTCTGATGCTCGCCGAAATCCAAGTCACCTTTAGGACTTTCGTCACTGTCTGAAGAGTCGTAGCGATTGGTTCGTTTCGTGTGGATTGTTGTAGTTGTCGTGGCGGGGAAGAGAGTACTGGGATTCTCTTTGGAAGGTGTTGGACATGCGGAACGGATGGACTCCGGTAACAGTTGGACTAGAGTGGTTCTAGGTGGCTGATATCTCAGCAGGAGAACACATGTGGACACGAGGGTATATGCCATGAGGGTGCCTAAGATAAAAAACAAGGTTTGAAAATAGAAAATAATTGAACTATCCCAAATAGCTTGTAGAAAATTTTATTATAATTTAATATAAGATTAAATCGATAAACCACTGTTAATATTCACTGCCGATATTAAGATAGTAATACAGAGTTCCAAAAATAATTAGAGATGCTTTTAGCTGTAGACCACTTACAATGGTTAAGCGCAAATTCTTCAAGATTTTAAGACCACGGTATTCTGTGAACAGGTTACTTTAACACTTGCATCTGATATTTGTACTTGAGCGTTCGGACAATCAATAGTTTATCCGAATATTGAAAAGTGGTAAAAATTAAAAAAATGTTAAAAATAATATTTACAAATAGGATTTGAATTCCAACAAAGAATTCCCAAAACGTGCACACATTCAACTAAAATTTTAGATCTACTAAGTAACTTGAGATAAGGTCTAGGTAAGCAGAATAATATACGGAAGAGTTTATGGGTAAACCAAATACTGCTCAGCCACTAACTAAAGAAAGCGCCAGATAGCAAAGAAATACTAATTCTTGCTTTTAAAAAATTCTGCATTTTTTAAAAAAATTAATTCTTACTGATTTTTATTTTAATTTACTCTATCGGCCTCCATCTGCAGACTTTGTTTACTATCACTAGTGGTTACAGTATTTATATTTTGTGTTTCGACAATTAATCCAGTTACGTAACACGTTTTCATACATCCAGTTTTAATATTCTCGTATTTATTTATTCACCATATAAATGGCAGCTGATCTGTAATTAACTTTCAGTTTTTAATGTCGTCCTATTAATCATCAAGAATCATTAAGTATCTAAAGTACATAAAGAGAGTTGATATGAATTGTTCAATTATATGTAACAAAATAATAATATAATGTATGTAGATATGGAGACAGGCAATGATATAAATGTGAGGTTTTTACGACAACAGTATCTAGTTCGTTTGTTAATTTTAAACAATGCAGTATAGTGCAGCCAGATCCTGCTGCATTGTATTCCTCTGTAATATCAACAAATCATTAAACAAACAGCGTATAAATGTTATAATGATTTGCGTAAATAAATCATTAATTCTATTAATAAATGTATAATGATTTCCAAATAATAAATCATTAAAAATATAATTAGAAAAGTTCATTACCTTAAGATTTTGGACCATTACCTTAAGATTTTAGAAGAAATCTTTACATATCATTTGCAATTTGACAAGGCAATTATTACCGCCTCATGCGTATTTATTTATTATGAACGGTTTCTTGAACGTAACTTTATTAGCAACTTATCTTTAATTTTCCAAGCGAAAATTTCAGCTACCTATGAAGCAATACTTTGGATCATGACCTGATTATGAAGATAAAAAAGAAATTAAAATTTGTCTTGATAGTCAGATTACTACACAACACACATCAAACTGCGCTTAAGTCGATAGAGATCACACGAAATATACGATTACAACTGAAATCAAATTCTGTCACGGAAGAGATGAAAATGTATCATTTCTGAATTAAAAGGAATGAAAAATACACTTTTGTACCAAAAATGCAATCACAAATGATGTTTGTCGATATATTAAAGTATAAAACAAATGGAAATTTTTTCCCTGAAGTTTAAGATAAAAAATTTTCTATTAATTCAAATACTTAATAGTTCATGGAATATTCTTGGCTATTTTAATCGTTTTAACATTAAGGTAATTGTACGTGAATGTGGACAGGAGGTTGCACATCCAGTTCGTATTCTTCCATTTTTTGATGGTTTAAAGAATATTAAAAATTTATACACTCCTGATAAAAAAGTAAACTGAAAAGGCAAAATACACGGAATAAAACAACAACAAAAAAAAAAAAAAAAAAAAAAAAAAAAATAACGGATATGCGTTAAATTGATCCAGAAGGTTGATGTGGCATTACGAGACTGCATACTAGAAAAGATATACTGAAGCACATGTGTTACGACCATCACATCGAGAAAGACTACATGGATCGGATTAATGTGCAATGGAAACATCACGCTTATAGCGGTTAACAACAACATGTCGTCTCAACATGTTCCACACATGCTGTATGGAATTCAGGTTCGGTAACCTAGCAGGCTACGGCAGATGTGGAATGGTTTCACTCTCTAGACAACCCCTTACCACTCGAGTTCTATGCAGGCGAGCGTTATCGTCCATAAATATTGCGTCGGTATCCAGCGCAGAGATAAAAGAACGCGCAAGAGGGTGTAGAATTTTGTCGCTACATAAGACGGCTGTGGCAGAATCACAGAGAGGTAGGTGCGGCCTTTTATTGCTATCACAGCCCATACAAGTAAGCCTCACGGGCGTAGCTAGATGGGGGCAAGGGGGGCATCTGTCCCCGGGCGCAGAATCCAAGGGGCGCCAAACTGATGTTACGACATTTTAGAATTAAATGTTTTCCATCCTTGGCAAGCAGTAGGGGTCGCGAAATCTTCAGTTGTCCCTGGGCGCTGAAACCCTAGCTACGACTCTGGTAAGCCTACTCTTCTGTAATAGTATCTTAGCTGTAGATAGCGTGTGGTTAGCATTACTTTCGGGAATCGTTCTGGATGCTAAATCAAAACTCATCCGTAGAAACCACGTAGCTCCACTACCCTGATGTTCACGGGCCAATTCAACCGCGTTTTGACATGCTATGGAGACAAAGGAAAACACCACAGGTCGTCGCGTGTACAGTCCACCTTTATGCAGTCGACGCGATACAGATTGACGGTATATGTGCCGTCCTGCTGCAGCAGTGAGATACGACGCCAGCTGTGGAGCTGTTAGTAATCTACAACGTCTTGCACTTAGCAACAGGAAGCGATCGACTGTCGTCCTGGTAATCCTCCGGCGTCCAGACCCCATCTTCTACAGGGGATTTGATCCCTTTGATAATGATTCCACAGCCTATTGATGACACTACAATGCACATTCAGCTCCCTTGCCAAAGCGGATAGTCTTGCACCACGTTGCAACATCCCGACAGCCTTCCAGCGTTTTTCATCGTGCAAATGGTATCTTCGGTTTACGGTTTCGATTTGGGTATCTCGGATTACACGGAATTATCGCTGCTTGCGAACTGATACATAGATTCGTCATTCCCCTTTTAAAGGCGTTGTGAAGTGACTGCAGGACTGTATTTTATGCTAATTTTGGTTGTCTATTTCATTCGGCAATGCAACCTCTACCTCATATGTAAATTGTCTGTTTTAAGTTTCCTTTTTACATTTGTACCTTTTCTTTTAGCGGTTATTTCTTATTTTTGAGGACGAGATTACTTTTAGTTCATTTAAATATTTAATTTCAAATGATGAAATTTTCAAAATGGTTTAAAATGTGGATTAATAGCGTGTGCAATTAGAAATTAGTAAATATCAAATGCCAAGTGCTTGAAATACAGTAGTACCTTGGTTCTTTACGTAAAGAGCGGTTTTATTTTATTTACTTCCTTAAATACATAGACTTTCTTTCTAAATGCCGGTAAGCTATCGCTTTGCCAAAAATTCAACAATTTCTTTCACAATTTCGAATGGATTACAACTAACACTAAAATTTTCAAAGATCGACTACTTATCAACAATAGCTGATAACAATTAGACAGTTTGTCGTAAGTGTAAAAATACCAAAATTCAGTTCTTTAGAAAAAGACGCCTGGTTTTATTCTCATCTAATTTCTGCAGAAGATGGAAAGCAGCTGATATGCACCGATGATAAACAGACATATACCTCGCTACGGCAAAACATAAACAGATAGAACTTGAGTTCGTTTAATGGACAGCTTGCATGTATAGATATATACTATAAATCCTTTATGCTATACCTGCTCCCTACCATGGTTACAGCCGAGAACATCGCGGCAAAAACATCGCGGACGAAAACGTCGCAGAGAAAACAACGCAAGACGAAAACGTCGTGCTACAAAACATCGTGGGAGAAAATATCGCAAAGAGAAAATATCGCAGTTCTAAAACATCGTGGTACAAAACATCGTCGTCGAAAATAAAGCGGTTCAAAAACTTCGCAGTTTGAAAACATCGTCGTCGAAAATATCGTGGTAAAAAATAAAATATCTACAAATCATCGCGTGACAATAACATCGCAGACATGCTTTTTTCAGGCTTTAATAACTGTAAATAGATATTCCCATAATAATTTGTGAGCGCAAAATGTAAAGAAGGATAATTTTTACTTTCACATTTTTTATTAACTAAATTTTTGCGAAAAAAGTAAGAAGGAAACTTAAGCATAGAAAATTAAATGCAACTTATGTATTATATTTTTTTATGAAAAAATTACCAGTAAAACTTTTATAAAATTATTTATTAATAGTCTTTGTTAGTTAACTATGTCGGTTTAAAATTCTATTAAGTGCTATAAGTTGCATTAATTTTCTATGCTTAAGTTTCCTTCTTATTTTCTCAGCAAAAATTTATTAGTTAATATAAAATATGAAAAACAAATTATCCTTCTTTCCATCTTGCGCTCACAAACTATTATGGGAATATCTATTTACAGTTATTAAAGTCTGAAAAAAGCATGTCTGCGATGTTATCGTCACGCGATGATTTGTACATACTTTATTTTTTACCACGATATTTTCGACGACGATGTTTTTAAACTGCGAAGTTTTTGAACCGCTTTATTTTCGACGACGATGTTTTATACCACGATGTTTTAAAACTGCGATGTTTTCTCTTTGCAATGTTTTCTCCCACGATGTTTTGTAGCACGACGTTCTCGCCTTGCGTTGTTTTCTCTGCAACGTTTTCGTCAGCGATCGGCGGACACTCCCTACCATAAGGCCTTTTTACGCTGCTGTCGAAGCTTGCATTACAACTTAAAAATTATCTTCTTCAAACAGAAATTTTACACATGCCATTTGTTACGTTAATCATATACTGTAGGCATTTTTTCGAGCTGTTAAATTTACGGTGTTTGTCTCATTTTTGTGCCACATATAGTTTAGTGAATCTGTTTTATAATGATATGATTTGTTCGTTATTCTCTCATATTTAATAGGGCACTGGAAGCATTCCATTGGTAGTCATTATAAGGATCGTCAGTTATACATAAAAGAAAAAGTTATGTTTTTCCGGAATAGCAACATCAGAAAAAAAATCAAACATCAGAAAAGAAACGTTGATGATTTCACAAAAAATTAGAGACAGGGCAGGTGCTACCAGTGGACGGAAGTGAGCGCTGCTCACTGTTTTTGTTTAAATTCCTTTGTACGTATTAATAAAATATGTTGGTTGTTTTGTAAGAAAGTTTGGATTAATGACTTCGTCATTTGGAGTATCTACGATCTCTTCGGCGGGCCATCATAAATAAAAATAAAAAATATTTTTGTTAGCTTTTGTCCACAACAAATGTTCTACTGTCCATATTCTTACGTAATACACAACTTTCTTTGGCATTTAGTGGTTACATAATCTTTACTGAAGGAGAATATACTAGCTTCGGACGCGTACTTTAATTTGGCTTACATTTCAGTCTGAGTCAAAACATGCGACCTGAATCAATGGTAAAAAGAGACAGTGTTTAAGTTACATCTACATACACATGTTTATCAAGTCAAAATTTACATAAAATCATAGTACATTTTTAAACAATAGAGGTATTATTTGTGAATGCATTGTAGCTGCATTCGAACCGAATTGTAGCAATATATGGCATAGTGCGTCCAATATGTCACATATCTGTAAAATAGCCGTACAGGCCTTAGTTGCAACTATATCGCAACAGATCCCATACCAGTGCACTCTACATTTGTAAAGAAGTTTTATTTTAAGTATCTAACATAATGATAAGTTTTTAACTTTATCAAGATAATGGTAATAGTATTAAGCATCTGTTGTAATATGAAGGAGTCTGGATTATGAGACAAAAATACGCTTATATGAATTTATCTGTTTCTGTAACTAATGTAGAATTCATTAAATAACACATGTTTAAAATAATAAAGTGTATAGTACTATAGGGTAAATAATAATAATATAGTGAAAAGTACTGTAGCTGAAATAATATAGTGTATAGTACTATAGGGTAAATAACAATAATATAGTGAAAGGTACTGTAGTTGAAATAATATAGTACCTATAGCAACTTACTACCTATCATTTAAAAATTACTTGCAATCAAAGATGATTATACCTTATTTATCACTTTGAATATAACATATAAATTTTATACAGCGTAGAAAAACTCTGAAAAAATACTGAACCATACCAATAGACATCATTTCTACAAGAACATCCAGACTCATGATGAGGGAAACGAAAGCAGTCGCAAGACCCAAAAGGCAGGTTGCTTTAGCTGGAGTGCCAGTAAAAGGCCACACTTGATCCAATGATCTATAACCAAAAATATAGGTGAGCGGTTGATTCATAGAATATACGCAAATAGAGTGTACAAAAATTGTATATATTTATAATTTTTCTAGAAGTTATAAATTTTAATACGAATATACTTAACAATTGTATATTTTGTAAGTTTACGAACTGAAACCAGTTTATCGGCTATTTATCGATAATTCTTCTACAAAAATTTATTGAAAATATAAGAGTAACTAATACAATAGACCTTTTGTTAAAATAAACATGCATTAAATAATGTAAAAAAATAAACAGTTTTCTAATGTGGCCGCGCAGCCGGTGTAGCCATTAATTAAATCTGTTTTTGGATTTTTTATTTCGGCGAATATGAAGTTCAGTGTAGCATTATACACTGAAGTGACAAAAGTCATGGGATACCTCCTAATATTTTGTCGGTCCTTCTTTTGCCCGGCGAAGTGCAGCAACTCGATGTGGCATGGACTCAACAAGTCATTGGAAGTTCCCTGCAGGAATATTGAGCCATGCTGCCTCTATAGACGTCCATAATTGTGAAGGTGATGACGGTGCAGGGTTTTGGGCACGAACTGACCTCTCGATGATGTCCTATAAATGTTCGATGGGATTCATGTTGGGCGATATAGGTGGCCAGATCATTCGCTGGAATTGTCCAGAATGTTCTAACCAATCGCGAACAATTGTGGCCCGGTGACATGGCGCATTGTCATCCATAAAAATCCCATTGTTGTTTGAGTACGTGAAGTTCATAAATGGCTGTAAGTGATCTCCAAGTAGCTGAAGGTATCCATTTCCAGTCAATGTTCGGTTCAGTTGCACCAGAGGACCGAGTCCATGCCATGTAAAAACAGCCCAGACCATATGGAACCACCACCAGCTTGAACAGTGCCTTGTTGACAACTTGGGTCCATGGCTTCGTGGGGTCTGCGCCACACTCGAACCCTACCATCAGCTCTTACCAACGGAAATCGTGACTCATCTAACCAAGCCACGGTTTTCCATTCATTTAGGGACCAACCGATATGCTCACGAGCCCACGAGAGTCGCTTCAGGCGATGTCGTGCTGTCAATAAAGGCACTCGAGTTGGTCTTCTGCTGGCATAGCCCAAGGAAGACAAATTTCGCCGCACTGTCCTATCGGACACGTCCCTCGTACGTCCCACATTGATTTATGCCGTTATTTGACGCAGTGTTGCTTGTCTGTGAACATTGACAACTCTACGCAGACGTCGCTGGTCTCGGTCGTTAAGTGCAGGTGGTCGGCCACTGCGCTGTCCATAGTGGGATGTTATGTCTGAAATTAGATACTCTCGGCACACTCTTGACACTGTGGATCTCGGAATGTTGAATTCCCTAACGATATCCGAAATGGAATGACCCATGCGTCTAGCTCTAACTACCATTCCGCGTTCAAAGTCTGTTAATTCTCGTCGTGCGGCCATAATCACGTCAAAGCCTCTTCACATGAGTAACTTGAACACAAATGAAAGCCCTGCCAAAGCACTTCACATTTATACATTTTCTACGCGATACTACTGTCATCTGTATATTTGCATATTGCTATCCCATGACTTTTGTCACTTCAGTGTAAATATATTGTTGCGTGCGTACGGATTCGCAATAGATTAATGTCCGATAATAGCTTAATAAAATTTATTCCTGTCAAAAGAAATATAGCAGAACTCTGGAATTTTCTTCAGAAATATTAGTACAACTGCTCACAGTATCACACAGTATAATTATGATGTATTTTCTCCCTTTTCTCAGCATGGTTTTCTGGTGTGACGGTTAGCCTACTCGGCGCATATTCGAGAGGTCCGAGGTTCGAGTCCCGGCGACGACATTGCTCATTTTTCACGTCTTCCGCAATAAAAAAAACCCCTAATGACTATATAAGCAGTGGTTATATTTCAAACTACTAAAACGGTAAAACAACGAAAGTGCATTTGAAGAGAAAGCTGACTAAAATATCCCAAATTTACGAGGAACTAAACAACTCGCATCAACAATAACTAAGCAACTGAGAGCAGATACTCTCTCTCCAGGCTTTTACGTATAGTTTTCAACCGGCCGAGAGATATTTCTAGCACTTCCTGCTTCTCAAAATTACTGGAAAGCAATACAAGGGTGAAATTACGGTTACAGCTAACACAAAGGGTCAATTACATTCATTCAGTTTCAGTACAAATTGCCGAGTTACCCATTTACTGAATGTTAAATGCACGTGCCCCTGTATTCGTAATTTTCCGGAATAGCTTTCTCTTAAAATTTGTCTCGCGCTACATTACAAAGAAAAATACAACAATTTTACTTATAATTCTACTAAAATTATATAAGTGCAAAATTCGTAACAATATTAACAAGTAAACGATTTTACTACAGAAATGTTTTTAATCACAAGACTAGCATACTCAGCTATTGATGTCAATCTTTGAAAATTCTTTATCAGGGTCTTCGATTTTTAGTAAATCGTCATTTTTGTTGGATGTTTTGAGAATACCCATTTTTCATATTTTTGCTATCAGAGAACTAAGCTGACATTTTGCATTGGATTTAAATGAGAATCAATAATTGTGCTCTGTATTATTACATCAACAGCATCATTATTGGTTCTAAAATCTTTGTTATTGCTTCGCAGTGCTGACCAAAAGAGGATCTCATATCTTTAGCTTCATTTTCATTGGTCTAAAACTTTCTAACAAATCCTTTCCTCCAAAAAGCAATTCTTCGAGATCAAACCTGAGCAGTACTTTGTCAAATATGTGTTCCGTAAAGTTATTTTGTCTTTGTTAATAAAACAATGGCTGTACGCCAACTTAATTAGGATAGGTATAGGAAAAGGAAATTCTCAGATTTCTAAATCTTGTAAGTTTCTCTTCTATGAACTATATTAATGATTATCACATATAAATTCATTTCCACAAATGTTAACTTATAAATATTTCTGCACAAAGATCGAAACAGTTGTAGCCAAGCTTTAATCAGTGCAATACAGATGAAATAAAAGCATTTGATTATCTTATATATATGCGGCTTAAGTGTTTGTCGCCGATAGTTTATTGGTTGCTTGCGTAACTGTAATTTGTTTTATTCCCCGTGGAGTGCAGCACGTAACGAATATAATGAGAAAGCTATGCCGGAAAAATTAAAAATACAAGAGCACGTGCATTTAACATTTAATAAATAAATTTAACATCTATATATAACAGAATTCCGAAATATGAAACCGGCAACGATGAAAAAACAAATAAAATGAAATAAATAAATATCTTTATTAGATGTGGCTTAAGTGTTTGTCGACGATAGTTTATTAGTTGCTTGCGTAACTGTACTAGCCAATGGGGTGAAGTTTCCACGGTGCAGGGTTCCCATTTCAATTTAAACGTAGACAATTTCCTGTAAAACTTGCCTTTGCTATGACCATCAATGTCTCAGGGCCAAACGCTTAACCGTGTAGGCATTTTTTTACCTGAGCCTGCATTTGGACTTGGTCAAAACTTTATGTTGTCTGTTCAAGAGTTCGTGAAAGAAAGGACGTAAAATTAAAAATAATGGATGGTCCTCTGCAAGGCGAGCTTAAAAATGATGGAAAGATTTACACAAGAAATGTTGTGTACAAAGAGATCTTTGAAATGTGGATTAACATTTATTATTTAAATCCCCTTTATTTATTGAGCTAGCGGTGGCTCTTGAGAAATGTAATGCCAGTGGTTTCCATCATTGCACTCTACTTTAAGCAATTAAGCGAGTAGAAGGGGGAAACCCCGTAGGGCAGTAAGCAAAGGGGCGTCCTCGCCGCCTGATCTGGGTTATTCAGTTTGAATTAGCACACACCTTTGCGCAAATCATTTTAATTACAATTTATAATATCTAGAACAGCGGTCATTTCGTATGACCGCCGGGCTTTCCTAGTAAATATATAACAGAGAAGCCGAGATCTCAGTACTTTAATAGTACAAAAAGTCCTTGTTGAACACGTCTAAAACATTTTATTAATGCAGTAAGTAGAAATAATTAGGTTAAAGAAAAAAAGTGATCTGTGTTTAATCTTACAGTTTTTAGTTTATTGTTGACCAGAAACTATATATCCGCGACATAATCAATTAATTAATATATATTTTACATGGTGCAAGACCAAAAACTAAAGAAACTACTATAACAATTCGTGTAATGGGTTTTTGCATTTAAGAACATGGAAAATCCATGGAAGACCTTTTTTGCCATGCCTAACGTACGTTTACAATTCAGAATTGCCCTTTTTCTGCAAAACATAAATTTAAATAAGGAAATGGCAAATGTGATATAAAGTGGTGTAGAGAAACATTTTTTTCACAACTTTTGTATTAGAGACAGAAAAACGTTGTGAAAAGTTTGTATTAGAGATTGTAAAAACTAATAAGGTGTGATGACTCCTAACCTTAAAAAAGTAATAAGGTATGTACACTGCTCAAAAAAAAAAAAAAAAAAAAAAAAAAATGGGACAGTGCTATGTCTCCCGTTCTACTGGGGCGATTGACGAAATTCAAATTGCGTTCTTTATGTCTCGAAAGCGCGACTTAGGATATATATTAGATTTATATATAGCACTATTCTAACATAGGTATTTTGACACAAACTCGGACTTTTTCTGAAATAACATACCAATTTTTCTACATATTTCGATTCTACGACTCAAATTATGCCAGAATACCAAGTTTTGGAAAAATCGCACGAGTAGTTTTTGAAATATTAGCTCTCAAAATTTTAGCTCCTCAATGTTAATTGAATTTGGCAAATATTTATTTATATCTCCTTTTTTATTAAACTTTTTTGATTTTTTCTCTCACATTTCGAAATTTAGGTTCATTCCAAATAAAATTTACTCATTTTTTGTGTTTTATTTTTAAATTTCTATTTTTAAATAATTTTTATAAATTTTTCGAAGAAAATTTTGAATTATAACCTATAAAATTTTTACCATCATCTTAAAGTAGGTATATTTTTAAGCATATCTGCAAAAAATTAGACTTTTTTATTCATAATTTTCTAAGATATACACAAATTTACATATTTTCGCGTTTTGAAATTTGGCATCTTTTTTTTTGAGCGATAATAACGCGAAATGTGGTCTATGGATTTTTGTTACACTGTATTGCCACAGCTATTTTTAACCTTAAATTTCAAGTAAAATTTTACGGAGAATTAATTATATGACATTTTTTCCTCAATGATGCGTAATAAATATTTATTAATACTATATGAAAAGCTATTTTTTTAATAAATTTTTTAATATTTTTTTTAATTTCTCTCTATCTCTTTTTTTTTTTTTTTTGAAATAAAGGTAAATTTTTTACCTTCGGGCGTTTTATCGTCTGCTACTTTACTTCGTTTAAATCGAATTGTCTAAACTGAGAATTTTCGTTTGATGTTTATTTGAATTTTATGACATTAACTGCACAATTTATTTCTAAACAAAATGATGCTTTTGAGTGGCTGAAAGAGCGGCTGGTACTATCATCCATATTTTTAAAGCACGGTTATATTTTTTATAGAACATATAAGATTTAGAATAATCATTTTATAAAAGTCAAACTATGATATAAATATACAACCCTCTAGAGACTGAATTAATGGAAGTTCAATGGTTATGTAGAAATGATCTGCAGCTACTTAATGGCTTGGATAAGTCAGCAGATTCCGTGGACAAGTAAGAATAATTATATAAACGACACCCAACATTCTGAATTCAATTAACAACGAGGATACGATGTTTATTAAATGAATTCAAGAAGTTTTTAAAACATAAAAAAATCAACTCATTTTTTATCCTAAAATGTATTTTTGTGCGTAGCGTATTTTTATTATTCTAATTTAAAATTCTAATAATTCTTAAAATTCTAATTTAGAATGTAATTGTCAAGAACTAATTCCTAATCATCAGTAATATAATAAGTAATTATTACGGTTATTAATAAATCCTTCTTATAAAGTAATTGCAAATATTTCAAAAAACTTTCTGTCTGAATGCAAATATTTTTCTGTGCAAATATTAATTTTATATTAATCAAGATTGCACACGTCATTATTTATTTTCACTTCAATTCTTAACGTCAGTTCTAGTAGAAGTTACAAATCAATTATATTTAATTAAGGATTGGATTGGATTGGATTGGATTATTTAATTATGGCAAAGCACACGAGGGCTATCTGCCTAAAGGGAGGGATGCCTTCGTGGAGGACTTTCTAAGGGAAACTGGATCGTATACACGTTACACATCGGGAAAACCACGAAAACACCCATGCAACCAGCCTGTTCGCGGGATTCGAACCTCGGACCGAACTACCTGTGATCAGCGTCTTTATCGCTCGGCCCGTTTATGGGCCTTTATGAAATGGAAGACGATAACTTTATTTACAATGATTGTCAGAAATACCAAAATGTTTCGAAAAGTTGGATACTTTTTAATATACTTTCAGAATGCTTAAAGAAAAAGAGAAGAAAAATAATTTTTTTCGTAAAATTTAGTATTTGTATTTTTTTTAATTTAAAAATTTTCAGTGTTATGATATTTGATTCTTGCGATTTCAAAAATAAAATATTTGACTAAAATATGAATAACATTTTAAGAAACCAAATGTAGGATAAAATTGTGTAAAGCAATGGGCACAATGATAAAACTGTTTAAAGCAGTGTATGCAAGTCATCCTAAGTTAAAATGTCGGTTATACATCTCTCTTATTTATATATATCTTTTCTGAACGGAACATTGAAAGGCGTGTAAAACTGTGCTTTACTGTATTTTCTCTTTTAATATAGTATGCAGTTTTCAAACTCATCGTAGTCTGGGTTACAAAGTATTCTTCCGAAAAAAACGCAGTTCAAATAAATAAAATCAAATTCTGGATAATTGATATTAATAAATATATTTAAAATGCTCAGTTCGAAGGAATAAATAGAAAATTTTTAAAACAATTATCTGAAGAGACAATGCAACACAAACAATTAAAATAAAAGTAATAAACATTTAAAAAAATTACCTAAAATAATAACTATGACGAAAATATATATATAAAGAAAACTATTTGAAAACAAAAAATAAACGCTGCACCTTTATTTACGCAGTTCGAATAGATAAATAGAAATTTTTTAAAACAGTTATTCGAAAAAAAAAAACGAAAAAAAAAAAAAAAAAAAAAAAAAAAAAAACGTGCTACTTAAACAATTAAAATGAAATTCGAAAAAAAAAATTACTTAAAATAATAAGTAATAATTAAAAATATAATATAAAGAATATTATTTGGAAAAAAGGAACGATGGTGACTTTTTTTCCTCTCATGGGAAAGGAAACTAGGTTGCCATATATTAAAGTTCGCCAAGTGAAGTATTCTTGGCGCAAAACTGACAAAAAAAGTGCCAACATAAATTTGTGAATTTCTCCGTAAATTTCGCTCCAAATTTACAAAATTTCATATTTAGGCGTAATTTGAGTCGTAGAATCGAAATATGTAAAAAAATTGGTATGTTATTTCAGAAAAAGTCCGATTTTGTGTCAAAATACCTATGTTAGAATAGTGTTATATATAAATCTAATATATGTCCTAAGTCGCGCTTTCGAGACATGAAGAACGCAATTTGAATTTCGTGAATCGCCCCAGTAGAACGGGAGATATAGCACTGTCCTTTTTTTTTTTTTTTTTTTTTTTTTTTTTTTTTTTTTTTTGAGCAGTGTACATCCCTAACGAAAGATGTGGCAATGTGTGATAAGGTATAAAATGTAAGTTTTCTAGAGATTTTATGGATCGTCCAGGGATTTCCAAGACATTATTCATAATGAATATCACATTGAAAAATCTCACACATGTTCTATCGGATTTAAATCTCAAGAATATGCGTGTTACTGCATCCGCCGTATTCCTTCGCACTCAAGTAATCGGTCTCTAGTGCAGCGCAAAGGAGACGAGCATCATCGTCCATTAGGAGGAAGTTATTTCCGATTGGAGCCCTAAACAACTTGACATAAATATATAAAAACAACAACAACAAAAAAAAAAAAAAAAAAAAAAAAAAAAAAAAAAAAACTGAACTTTGATAATTCAGCACAAAATTATATTGTGAATGTAAGAAAAATCAAACTGTCACATGTGCTCGAACATTATAGTAGCTAAGAGTAAAAACATTTAAAATGTAATTCAAATGTATTATAGCATTTTATTCTTCCCACTAATTAACTCTTTGCAACTTTAGGAGAATTTCTCCAGTACTTGAATACATTGTACATTTAAACTGTACTTCATTAAAAAAGTACGTTCACACGAATTAATACCTTCGAAATATTCCTGCTCTTGAATGACATATAAATTTTATTGCACTGAATTGTACGTAACTTGTGTGATATTTTTCATCGATAAGTGTCCTGCATTTGACCTGCAGGTCCGATCTTTGGCTGTGGTCCCGTAGGCATTTGACCTTTCTACCACCTGAACATCAGTAGCTGGAAAGCCTAGAAGCATGATAGCTGTCCAGTTAGCGGTGTAAAAGTTATGCATATTTCATCACTAATAGTTGCACAGTTGCACTGGTAAGCATTTGAATATCATATTTCAGCATTCACAGTTGCACTGGTAAAGAAAGATTTGTAGGTTGATGAAACCATTTCAAATGATGCCCGCGCATACCATTATAGTACCACCTTAGTATTTTTCAAGAACGTTTTCAGGCTGTGTGTGTGGGTTTCTTTATAAATTGTAGCACGTCTGGAATCTTTTTCCAAACGAAATCGAGACTTCTCAGTAGAGAACTCGGCTCCACTCTGTGGTATCCCCATCAGATGATTTCTGAACCATTGCAATCTGGCAAAGTTCGCAGGTCGAGTTAGTGGAATCCAAATGCAGGTTATTCTTGTATAGAGGCCTCTTTTATGCATGCTGTCAGTTCCAGTATAGCTAGATTTGCCAAATCCTTTAGCTTCGGTAAATTATCTTGCAATTTGAGTAACGTCACTTGCCTATTTAGTATTTTAGCAACCATAGCCCAATAATGGTCTTGAGAGTCTGTTGTGGCATGTTTTCAACCTTGACCTCGTTTGTCAGTAATTTAAAGCACATGTTGCCAGGTTCGGATAAAAACGTCCAAAGCTGTGAGCCCTTAAAAGATTCTGGAACTACCACATATGTTTTTATGTTACTTCATTCCAGTTTTGGGTTCCTATCTTTCTCTGTCTCTCTGCTTTGGTTTAGCTGCAAGATGCATTCCATGGTAATATCGGCAATTTGAAATTTTTTGGTGTCCCTTTCCTGAATATCTAAAGACCTTTTTATAGCGCCCCTTTCTTGTCGTCCTAAGCACATGCGTGCATGCTTATGCTATTTAATAGTTAATCTAGCCCTGCCCATTGCATGTCATTTCACGCTTGCCGGAAACACGCGTGCAAAAATTTGCTTTTTTCTCTGTAACAAAGGTTAATCCCACTGGAGTACATAATAACGATACGTTATCAGAAAATTACCCTTCATTGGACTTCGCTTTAAAGAATTGACATAAAGCATCTTTTTATAGTCTTTTCCTTTAATACTCCTTTACAATATCCCTTTTCCTTTATAGTCTTTCTCTTTGCCCTAATGTATAAACATGGCGTTTCAAAAACTAATGGGACAAGTTTTAAGAGGTGATAGAATACTAGCAATTCCTATGACAAGGCATCCTTATGCAATGGTGTCATTCAGAAATGTATAACATCATGTGTACAATTTTACAGTATTAAAAAGCAAATTAATTTACTGTATTATTAAACACAATGTCATGCAGTGGTAAAAATATTACAGTAAAGTACAACATACCTAAATATGAGGCCATCTTTTGCCATAGCATAAACTATTCTGGGCATGGGAAACATAGATCCGAACATGCTAACTGTCAGACCAGCCAGAGCGCCGATAGCCACAATGTACTTGGATTTAAAAGCTCCTTTTTGCGCAAACATCTCCACAAGGGCAGATTCCGCATCAATTTGCTCGTAAGGTATGATGAGAGTGAGCTGCAACAAGAATTGCATTCTCAAAAAGTAAAAATGAGTAGAAAATGAGAATAGGTTTTAGTCTAGAAGATTTTTTTAAGTTTTGCAAGATTAATTAATAATCATTTCAGATATATTGAATCTGTTACTATCGAAACGACGCATTTTTATCCAGTTTTACAATTACCCGTTTAATGCTAATTATAGCCAATTATTTTGATAATTTTTTCACATTAAAATATTTTTCAAAATAGTCGAAAAAATCAAATCACACTTTTGGCTTTTTATTAAACCACGGGAATGGCCGTAAATTCATCTGATCTAAATGCATAAAGATATAAAAGCTATCATCTGAAACTTTATGCTACATTTATTAAAAATTATTTTTAACACGTTGCATCACATTTATTCACCCTTGTCAGTCAGACTACTGCCGGTTTACGCAACTATAGTGTCATAAAGTAATATTTGTGGTTATTTGATACAATTTGGGTTTTCATGCATTTTATTGTTGTTGTACACTTGTAAAGTTGCGCGCTTCCAACCTGCACGCAACAAAGTGGTGACTGCTGAGAACTGGAATTAGACCAAAGTCTTGAGAAGGGTTAAATCCCTTTTATTCAAATTTAGAAGTTACAAATGCGTGCTCTTGACGCTCACAAACTACGCCGACCCGGCGGTAAAATAAAAATAAGAAACTAAAAAGAGATAATAACAAGTGACTAACTACGAGGCTCTCTAAACGTAACTAACCTCACCGCGTTCTAAAATACCGCTGATAATTCAGCAAACTCTGAATATTACGTTGAAAGATTAACAATTTGCCGAGGCAAGCACACAGGCCGGAACGCGTGGTTCTTCAATTTCTAACTAGCCAGCTCCACACTCGTGAAGCAAGAAAGCACACTTTCGAACTCGTTTCCCTTCTATTTAACTCAGAATACTCCCGCTGATAATTTGAATCCTTGCGCGTTCTACTAAAATTTACATACTCTGGCATTGGCAATTCCAGGGGAAAGTAAGGCTTGACAGGAAAGATAGTTTAAACTTAAAATAAATGTTAGTTAAAATAAATATAAACCCTACACACTTGTTTCTGTTTATTTATTTAATTATTTGTTTGATTAGTGCATTTTGAGACGTAATTTCATATTTATTGTAAATTTCATTTAACTTGAATTTTTGGCATCTTAATACGCATGTATGTGTTTACTGAACGTATTATGTTATAGATCTTTTAATTCTGAATCGACTGACATTTGAATTCCCAAGCCAGTTCAAACAGAGTTAGGGATGCAAACAAAAATTTCGATTTATACCAACAACCAACAACATTCACCATTTTGGGGGAAAAGGAAGTTTTAGGAAAGCCTATTTTGAAAGTCGTATAAGCGATTTTTGTCGAACCTTCCACAAACGCTTACTCTGCTCTTTGAGCAACTCTAAATAAGCAGCTATCAGCAGTCGTGAGTCTTTTGAACAATAACTCTGGGACTGAGTGACCGCCCAGCAAAAATACTTCGCGTTAACTTGATAAAAAAAACTGTATCTTCGAAAAAAGTACTGATTTTATATTTATTTTTATTTTACTATCTATACTAGCATATAAACGAAGAAATATTGAAAATAAAAATGCTGAATTGACATATTCCCGATAAATATGTTTTTAGTTAATTAATTTTTCTGTTTACGCGTAGAAATTCTAATTATTTATATCTAATTTAAATACAGATATCCAGTTTATTTAATACGCTGATTACACGTATTCTTACACGGAAAACTGTGGAAGTATCTATTCTTTATTTTTAGCAGATTTTGTTAAATTTATAAATCTCCTAACAAATAAATAAATCTGTCGAATGAAGGTACTTATTTTTCATTTATCAAAAGCAATCATTATTTAAGATATTTTGTAGCTGATTTAGCTGACTTTATTCTATTCAATATAGTTGTTAAAAATTCAACAGAGAAAGTTCTTAATACCTTTTCCTGGAATTTCAGTTTCTTAAAACCTGAACTCATTTCTTCGGAAAAGCTAGTTTATCCTGCCCATAAATGTACTATAATGAAATCTGAGATTGGTGATGGTGCGAAGAAATGTATCTTTTTAATACCTGTTATTTTTAATATCTAAAAATTCTGTAAAATATTTTATGATAATTTGCATTTACCGATGGAATCACAAGACGGAAGCGATATAGTTACAGAGTGATAACGTAAATTTAGATTACTACTTTTGCTATAGTAAATATTAAGAAACAAATATCTGTCTAAATTAAAGATTTTGCAGTCTAATTAAAACTTACTTGCTTTCTTGAATATAACATCTTCTGCTGCATTCAAGATTTGATAAGAATCAATGAGATGCAAATTCTATCTATCTCATATTTATTTTTTAGAAAAGAAATATTAGATTTGAGAGATGTTCTTGGACTACTTGACATTTATAAAATGTATTAGTACGAAAAAGATAGTCTATTTCGGTATATATTTTTTTTTAATTCTTCCTAATTACTATTTAATGATACCTCTTCGAAGTTATAGCACGCAAAAATAAGAAACTGCTACTTGCAAAATAGTATCAGTATAAAAAAAACCTTTTTTTTTTTTTTTTGTGTGTGTGCCTCTTATTTTATTCCTAGGTTGGTAACTAATATATTTGCATGGAGACGTAGAATCACACTAAATTATTTCTGAAAATCTCGGAGATTATTGTTGCGAGTTGAATGCTGTAAGTAAGGAAATCCTTTGAAAATTTGATCACTGGAAATCGTCAGGTAATTTAAAAAATATAATTTATTTCTTATAATTCTTTTAAAAGAGTCCAGAAAACATTTTTGAGGTCCATAAAACATTTTACTTACCTGAACATAACACTTCCTGTCTTAATAATTAAAATTTGAAGAATTTATTGAGTAGAAGCTATCAGTGAAGTAATGATAAAAACCAAACGATACAGAATACAGGGCGTTAAAAACATGTTTTATTGATTACAATTAATACCGTAAAAACGACCAATTTGGTAAATTAAATCAAACATTTTATTATTTATGTCTATTACCCAAAATAAAGATGTATTATAAAAGATATAATAATAAGATATAATAATAAGCTATAATAATAAAATATATTACCCAAAATAAAATACAAATATAACAGAAATACAAATTAAGAAACGCATCTATTATAAACAGCTCTTGACACGTAGAATGCAACATTCTAAAAGATTGGTTAATTAAATACGGCGTAAAAGTTAAAAATACCGTACCGCCTAGAATCACAACACTTACCAGGAAACTAAATAATAAATCCTCTGACATCTATTTAAAGAGCCCTGGAATTAAAACCTTTGATATAGACATTTGTAACATAAAAATATTTTAAAAATCTGATTCGAGTACTTTGCTTTCAATAATAACCAAACCTAAGCTAAAATAGTCAAGAACTAGAAAAACATAGACTAACAAAACTAATAACGAATTAAAGCAGATTGTGTTTAAAACATATAATGCTTCGATCAAAATGATTCTGAATGTTTACAAAAGTTTTGTGTGAGAAAGTAATTCATAATATAACATTTTATTCAAAATTTTAAGATGATTTTTTGAAAATTTTTCTTCTGTTCTATAAACACGTGTGATTCCTTTTGATCTACAGTGGTTTACAAAAATGATTGGACACTTTAAATTTTTGTAGTCTTTAATGAATATAAAAACTAAAATAAATTAAAACAAAAAGAAAGGCTTTTATTTTGATTATATATAAATTATGCACTTTTTATAGTAAATAAATTTTCGAAAAGATTAAAATTAAATTCAGAAATCAATACCGTTTGTTTAATGAGGAAAAATATTCTCACAAAAATAAACGAACACTTTTAGTAACAGCCAAAAATGACAAAAATGTACGTTGTTTTGCTTCTTAATATCTTGCGGGATTACCTTTACACTTGATCACTTCATTAAATCTTTTGGACGTTGACTCTACAAGTCGTTTAGTTATTCTTATTTTACGACACTCATCTTGAATCACTGCTTTCAGTTGCTGCCACGAAGATATACTCTGGTTTTAAGTTTTAGAGTCTCGTTTTTGCGAAATGTGTTCTATACCATTAAGATCTGGCGATTGTAGTGGTGAATTACTTCTGTACACTTATCTAACAGTCAAATTCTAACAATGTGCGCAGTATGCTTTGGATCATTGCCCTAGTAGAATTTGAAACTACTTTACACATTAAGTTTTATGCCAAAATTCGCTTCAGCATGTCAGAAGTATTTATACTGATCCCTAATACCATTTACAAACTCTATATTACCAACACCGGAAAATGTGCTATAGCTCCATAACTCCTCCTTCTTCCGTGTTTAACACTTGGTACTAAGTTTTGCTTCTGAAATTCTTCTTTAAGTTTTCTCCACACCATCACTTGTGGATCTGAGCCGAAAGATATTAAATTTGCTTTCATCGGCAAAGAAAACTTTTTTTTCCAGTAGTTGGGTGTCTTTTCTTTCATGAATTTTGCGAAAACGAGTCGAATATTTCGTTTTTCTTTTACTGACATAAAATTTTCTTCTGTACTCGCCCATGATATCCTGCAGATCACATTGCTCTTCTTACAGTTTCTAGATTTACACATATTTTACATAATTCGTGAAGTTCCGCAATAAGTTTAGGAGCACTTAGTCTTCGATTCTTTTTAATATTCTTTCGAATAAAGCATTTCATTCCATCAAATAACTTAGAGGGTCTTCCAGGCCTTCTTTTTTTAATACGATTATGTTTCTTATAACCCTTCGTAATATCAAAAAAAAAAAAAAAAAAAAAAAAAAAAAAAAAAAAACAGTAGAATTACTTAAATTAAGTAAACAGGCCATTTTTTAAACAGATTTCGCTTTTGTTTTTATGCAAATCAATAACTAATCCGCCGGTTTCGAATAATGTTTTCTTTCGTGACCGAGCCATTGCAAGAAAACATTAAAATAACGAATACTTTCTCAAAAGAAAATTCGAATTTTATAAAGGCAAATAATTTTTAGATTTTTGCCTAGCTTCTATATTCAAATTAATTCCATAAAATTTTGGTTCTTATTTATTTCAGCAGATTTTAATTAGAAATTATGAAAATGTACGATTACTTTTGTGGCATATTTTTTCCCATTGCTTCCTAAAACCTTATTTTTAAAATTTACCATTTAAATTTTTCAAATTTATTTTGTACAGTGAGAGAGCTAATAAAATATGTATTCAAAGGATAAATATCCTTTATTATTTTATTTCAAAGCTTTTCTATTACTTAAAAAAATATAGGGGCCGATCATTTTTGTAAGGCAGTGTCTATTTTCCGCTTGTCATCAATTTACATGGTTTTATTCATCTGTTATTTTTGATTTACTTGCGATTTTTTATGCTTCCTCTGATTTAATACATTTGATGTATTCTTCCCTCCCACATTCGACATTAAGTCAGCCTGACATTTTGAGGAACTTTTAGATTTTACTTTTGTTCTTCCAATTCATTCATGTAAACAATACGCAAAATGTACTTCAGATTAAATTACGTAACCGATTAGATTGAAATGAAATTCGAATTTTTTCATTACCTTTCGGGTTTTACATTAAGACCTGTCAGCTGTTATATGATCTAAAGTAGAATTTAAATTCAATTCCAAATTTTGCTTTACAGAGGCCTTTAGATATAGCTTCTGACAGGATTAAGAGAAGAAGATAAGAAGTTTTTTGCTGTTTCTAAAGTCGCATATCTTTCTATATATTTATTTCTAATAAAAACACTAATAGCTAATATAAAAGAAATTATTAAACTTTAAATTCATTTAGTGACATATTATTTTCACTAATGGAGTAATTCAATATTAATTTATTGAAAATTTCCTCCTTTTACAAATGTTTGAAATCATATTACATTACACCTCCCTGGTAAATCACATGCATTTGCAGTTAAACCGCATAATTTCCCGAAGAAATTTAGTCTTATAACTTCTCTCATCAAAATTTCCTTAGTCTAATACAGCAGAATTATTTTTTTCTAAAGCAAGTTTATTAATTTACCAAACATTAATCAAAACCAATAATTACCATATTTGCCGGCGTATAAGATGCACTGGCCTATAAGACGCGCCACCTTTTTTATACACATTTTTAAAGGATAAAACTTTATTACTGATCATTATAATGAATTTACAGTAGTTAAATATAAAGTGATACAAATACAAATTAATACTTTCTGCAGATACCCAATCTCTGAGTTGCTTTTTTTAGATTCTCCTCCTGATTCCAGCAAGTTCTTATCATTTTTCTCAGTTGAGGGTGCACGAAATGCCGCTTTGCAGCTCTGTTTCCATGCTCTTTAGCATACGCAATCACACGTAGCTTGTATGCTATGTTATAGCAATGCCGATGTTGTTTTTGAGCCATAATTTGCCAACAAATTTAAGAAAACTGAACAGTAGAAATTTCACACACTTAAAAGTCGTTCACAAAAACTGGAACGTTTAAACTAACTTCACTGAACTCTACGTAACTGGTAATATTCCCATCCTCCACAAGGAAACAAGAAAAAAAAATCACATAACTTCGAATACAGAAAATTTCCAGAAATGAATGTAATAAAAAAGTGAATATCGACGTGTAAGATGCACACCGTTTTTTAGACCTATTTTCAAAGAAAAAAAGTGCGTCTTATTCGCCAGCAAATACGGTAAATTAATGTTTAAGATATAAGATAAGACAGCTGTACACAATCATGCCTTTTATTAGCTATTCAATATCCATCGTAGTATTTATTTGGGAATTTATCACGGCAAAGTAGAAGTTTTTAAAATAAAAAGTAAGCAGCTCGTAAGTAAAGAATCCGCGCCAAACTATGAAACAGATTGTAAAATTTTGAATAACGCAATCGAAACTATGGGCCCCTTGAGTTTTGCTACGAGACTATGTGGTATGAGAGAAGTAAAATGCACGTGTAACTTTATAAACAAAAATCAGAATGTATTTGCCCAACTGAGCAGCTTAGATCCACCTATAATCAAATATTACATAGCGAAGTGCCTATGGCAGGTGACCTTGAGACTCCTTAAAGTAGTAGTTCCGAACCTAAGGTACCGTACCGCTCAGAGTAACGATGGCTTTGGTAGAACATGAGAACATGAACAAAAATGACGGGAATTAACAATGCTACAATAAATGTTGAGAGATTGCAGAGACATTAGGCCATTTCGAAGCAGGAGTGCTGAAAAATGAGAAATGCCCTCGCCGGAACTCGAACCACGGACTTTTCGAATTCGCGTCGAGCGTGCTGACCCCTACACCATGAAGGCATGCTAAGAAGGCGGGAGAATACCTTATAAGGTGGGTTCTAGATATATTTTAAGAGAACATAACGTAATGCAGGCATTTCATATAGCATACATATTAACAAAACGAACACTTTGTTATAATACTGTAATGTTTTTAACTACTTTATCTACGCTTGACTTCATAAAAACCTAGTTGTACTATGTAGCGACTTATCGTTGAGTCCAAGTCTGTAAACGGCAAACTCCAGGGAAGGGTTAAACTCAGCATTTATTATCTCAAACTAAGAATACAGATGGCCCTTTCTCGGGTTTACAGGAAATCTTCCACATGGGCTTTGAATAAAGATAAGAAAATAAGAAACTAATCTAACGCTAATCTAAACTGAAATCAGCTGAAGTTGTTAATTAAATTAACGGGCGAATATCAGCAGACAGGTACAATACGATCAAGCGTGTGTAGCTTTACGCAACGAAGCAGTCTGACGGCAAACACGCGCCACTAAGGGCTCCTAAGCTCTTCCCTTGAAGTAAGCGAAACCTTCCTTTAATTCTTCTTTCTACCTCATTTTGCAATGCGATACTAAAAACTTATTCTGGCAGGGAATAGTAGGTAAGAAACGAAACTAGACAGTAAAGCACGTTTAAAAATTAAAATTACTGTTGGAAACTTAAAATGACCCCTACAACACAAACAAAAACAGTTTACATAGAGTTAGTAATACAATATACCCCTGGCATACAGCGCTTAACGTCGTTTATAGTAATATTCCTTTCTATAATCTCGACTCTGTGTCACATGAGAGAGAGGCGAAAAAGCGCGCCGTTCGGCTAAAGTGCGCATGCGTGGTGTTCATCAAACAATCACACTTCCTCTCAAAAAAGACTTAATTGCGTCTTTCAGTAACTCGTCAAATCCACATATAAACATTGCTTGAAACAAAAAAGAACATTATTCCTGAATTTTTTTAACTTAACCAATTCTTACTTATTTGAATTAAAGTTAATTCAGTAATCTTAATCAATAAAAGATGTAACATTCAATTAACTTTTCCTTAAACCTAAATCTTTAGCATTATTTATGATAATGATAATGTTAGTTATTATGTAAACAAAATAATCAAATCAATCATTAACAAAAAAAAAAAAAAAAACTTAAAAGTTTCAGATTTTAAATTATGTCCAAAGAGGCGTTTTTTTAACTTTCTGTGTATTATATATATGTTTTTTACCGTTTTGTGTGTTAATATCATGTTCTACGTACTCAAACCATAAAATTCAGTTTAACAGCAATATCGCAAAATAATTTTAAAATGAGCATATCTTTAAAATTTCCGTTACAGTCTCTCGTGCGTTGGAGATAAAAATGTATTTTTGTACAGTGTTGCCATTGCTCCCTTTGAAATCGTTGAGTTTCTTAATCAAAAACTCATTGAAGTGTTACAATATATGAAATCGATAATTAAACTAATTTCAAATTCAAATTAGTTCTTCCACATGCCAATATTCTGTGGAAGATTGTGTTATTCAAATTTTGATGGCTCTAGGTACCATGTTTTATTACTAGAGAAACACACATACATTCATGCGGATTCTTCATTATTTAATTTCTTTAAATATAATACAAGGCGATAATATTTGGTGGCGACAATTTGAAAAGTGAAACAACGCTTATCGTGAATCGACGCAAAATGACAAAGTGAAATTAATAGCCCTTCTGGGCAAATTGCCCCTTTGGACTAATTGTATAGCTACTTTTCCATTGTATAAATCTCAATTTCTTATTTTAATTAATTCGAAGTTAATTTCGGGTCTAATTTTTCCCCACTTAATTATTTGCTCATATCCGTTGTTTGGGTCTCCTTAAATTCTCCGTTTAAATTGTTAACGGTGTTGCACTTATTTTTTTTTTTTTTTTTTTTTTTTTTTCCTGCCTTTTTTGGGGGGGGGATGAGGTTTATTTGTTTGTTTGTTTCCTAGGTGCAGAATGTTGTTTTACATTCCTTTCGCGATATTTTCCCTTTCTTCATTAATATTTTTACGGAATTCACCTATTTATCAATAGTAATACGAATGAAATATCTTTAGTTTATGATATCAAACAATAATTTTAATTCTTTCTTTACAAAAGAAATTGAGCATACATAGCTTTTCAT